AGGAGTGAAATTAGTTAGTCTTGCTTGTAACTCTCGGGCAAGATTGCGCAGAAGGGCCGGGTGGCTCCGATAAAGCGACCAGCGGGCGCGTTCTCATTCTTCTTCGGGGCAGTGGTCCCAGATTGTTCTACCTCCCACTCGTTTCTGTCTCTCCGTGAGGAACCCCCGCGGGGGCACCAGTGGGCACGCGTACATGTTATCGTGGACCTGGTATGGTCCATTCTTGACGCTTTCTCCTTCCCTGTCATACGGTCCCATCGAATGCCCAAGCGTGTGGTATGTCCACTCACAAAATTACTGTGCCCAGTATTCGGTACACCATGCGACTCCCTGAGGCGCACAGGGCTTACATTCTGGAAGGTTGCAGGGTTGGCTTCTTCGCCATTGCAGCTCGTTCATTCCTGTTCCATGCTTCATTTTTCCAACCATCGGGTTACTGGTGCGGTTCCTGGTGCCTGTAGTGCTCTTCATCTGTGCCCTCACCGATCTTACCCGTGCCTATCGGAAGGCGATGAAGCATACCGTCCGGATCATAGAGGAAATGAAGTGCCATCTTTTCCGATACCACATGCTCATGGGAAAGTGAAGATTGTTGTTCATCTTGCAATTGCTACAGCTGTTGTCGTTCTCCCTTCACCTCCTGTGCTCGTTTGTGCATGGCTGACCACGCAACGCAGGGCTGTGGGCCGAAACTAAAGATGGCTGGACTCATATGGTGTAAGTTCAGGATAGACAATGTAATGTAAGCCGAGCCTAGAGCAAGTCATAGGCACACCTACACGAACGTGTTTCGGCACCCAGGAGAAGGGCGAGCAGGAGGGTCCGGGTGCTTTCTAGCGGTTGCCTTGGGGTTCGCCTTGGGCCGATTTTGGGCCATTTCGGAGTCGTTTGGGGCTATTCTTGGGCCGTCTTGGGAAGTCCTTGCGACGTCTCCGGGCCATTTTGGGTCTGGTTTGAGCTTCTTCGGGGCCGCTTGGGGAGTCTTCAGGTTAAGTTGAAACCTTCTCTGGCCTCTTTGTGTCGCGCGAGGAAGCCAATTTTTTTCAGGACTGTTGGCCTGTCATCGCCTTCCTAACATGGATATCACGGAGGCCATCAATGGCTTGTTGGACGCCTCCTGGAGCCTTTCCACGCGCCTCTTGGGGTGTTATTCGGGGCGCTTGGGGCCTTCTTGAGGTAGTATCGGACCAATTTCGTGGCCTTGGGGCCTTTGGTGGACATTTTGGAAGCTATCTTGGGCGTCTCGTGGTGCACGCGAGGGTGTGTGACGAGTATGAGGCATTCCAGTACATGCCACGGGGCGCCGTGGTGCTTCTTTGTTCGTCTTGCTTCTTTTCCGCTCGCAGGTGATGCTGCTAGACCCTATTTACTTGCTCTTTTCTGATGGATTGCAGGTATCTCACCATCGCCGATTTTGATGACCACTTAGCAGACGCGTCGCAGAACTGGCTGCCACACTTGACTTTGTGCATGCCGCTTCGTGTTTTGCCTCTTGTTTGTATGGAGCAGAGCAGTGGACAGCTTCCCTACTGGCCAAAGCAACACCTAAGGATGCGTCCGTCAACTGATCCGTGTCAATCTTCTCTTGTAAGAGCCAACGAAGCTGAATCTTCCAACGTATGCCATAATTACAGGTACGATATCGCAGACATTGTTTGGCATTATTGCAGAGACTGTTACTGTTGCTAGCACGCTGTTGATATGAGCTTCGGTTCAACTAAGGGGGGCAGTCTTCTACCCACGGCTGGTCGACGAGCATTTGATTATCGCTGTAGCCTCTGCGATCCCATTGGATTATTTAATCGCTTCGCTCATTCCGCCGGCCCATATTGTCGCACCGTTGTGGGCTAGCCGAGTTTTGGGGCCTCTTGGGGGCCGTTTTGGGGCCTCTTGGGGCCTCTTTTGGGCCTCTTGGGCGCCTCTTGGGGCGTCTTGGGGGCCTCTTGGGGGCCTCTTGGGGCCTTTTTGGGGCCTCCTGGGCGCCTTCTGGGGCGGAGGGCTCGATTTTTCAGTTCTCGGTTCCCCTCTTGAGCCCCTCTTGGGCCCGTCTTGGGGCCTCTTGGTCCGTCTTGGGCGGCACTTGGGCCGTCTTGGGGGCCCTCCTGGGCCGTTCCGGGGCCGTCTTGGGAGCCTCGTGGGCCGTCTTGGAGCGGTCTTGGGGGCCTCTTGGGCCGTCTTGGAGCGTCCGGAAGCCGAAAAAGCCAGAACGCAAAAAACATAGAAAAAACAATGAAAATCAACGATTTTGGCCTCTTGGGGCCCTCTTCGGAGGCCTCTTGGAAGGCCCTTGGGGCGTCTTGGAGGCCTCTTGGGCTGTCTTGGGGCCCTGTTGGGCGTCTTCGGGCGATCTTTGGCCGTCTCGGGGCCCTCTTGGACCGTCTTGGAGGCTTCTTGGGGACCTCTTGGCCCGTCCTGGGGCCCTGTAACAGGGCTCCGGCATCTCTGGCCCGACCTTGCCGGGACCTTGCCGGGACCTTGCCGGGGTACTTTTCGTCCGGGGACCCCCAGGGGCCGCCCCGCGCGCGCGAACTAGAAATACTGTTAACCAGGTACCGGAGATCTTAGCACGCCCTGTGGATTATTTTCCAAAACGGCTATGCGCTTCATGCTGCGTGGGATGTGTTTGAATGTTTTCGTCTGCGTTGGTATGGTTCCTCGCGAGGCTGAACACGGATTTGTTCAAAGGTGATCCACTCGCTGCTATGACACTGCCGGACGCCATCCAACTATGCTCTCCCTCTCTCTCTCTCTGTCTCTCTCTCTCCCTCATTGACTGTGATATCAGCGGGGTGTATCTTTTTAGCCAGACATAATATGAAGACGCATTGATGGTATTCATCTCGGCACAGCTGTGACGTGCGTCTCTGTCTCCATTTGTACCCCTGTTTCTGGATATCGAGATCTTGCCATACCGCACTGCAGCATTCAGGCATTGATTACGCCTCGGTCTTTTTCCTTCTGGCTTCCGTTGTTCCAAGCCCTCCTCGTCCCGTCATTATCGATTTTGGTAATTTCTTAATCGCTTTGGTCATAGTCTTCCAGATGCTGTTGGCACCCCTCCTGCCCCTTCCCTGGCGCCCGTCATCTGTTTCCTCCATCCCCCCGCTGTCTGCGCGTCCACGTCCTCCCTGGGCCGCTTCCCGCTCACGCGATCCCCGATCCTCCCCTCCATCTGCACCCCTCGTGGTCAAGTGCCGCTGCAATCTCCCCTTCACGGCGAGGACGAGTGAGTGCCACCTCCGGCTGCTCTGCGGGCGTCTTCGGCCGCGGCGCCTGCCTGCCGTCGGGCGTCTCGGCGGTCCCCCCTCTCCTCCCTCGGCTGACGCGTTCGTGGAGCCGCGCTTCTCGACCTTCCCCCCCCCGTCTCTCCCCGCACCCCGCGCTCGAGCGCCTCATCTCGCCGCGCGCGACCGCCACTCGCGACGGGCTTGCACCGCTCCTCGCGGGGCAGGAAAGCGGCCCGCCACCTCTGCCCGTCGCTTCGGGGTCCCGGAGCGCCGCTGTGCCTGCCTGGCAGCCTGACCGGGGCCACGGGTGGGCTGCCGCCTTTCTGATGCAGCTGCCTGCGGCGAGCCCCCGCCACCGTGCCAGCGCAGCAGCGCAGCAGCGCAGCAGTAAGGAGGTCGAGTTTAAGATCGGCTCCTTCTCAGTGCCCTGGCCGAACCGGCGCGGGTCTGAACCCCTCCCACTTTGTCGGCAGCATTGCTCCCCTCCCTCTCCTCCTCATCCTCAAGTGCATCTTGGGGGCTTCTTGGGGGCTTCTCTACGGCGCCTCTTGGGGTCCGCACGGTGGCCTCCCAGGAAACCGTCGGGGGCCCGATGGGGGTCTCGGGGCCGTTTAGGGCGCGGCGGTTCCAGCGAGCTCTCCCAAAGAGGCTCGGTTGAGCCATCTTGGGCGCGTCTTTCGGCCGTCTTGAAGCTGTCTTGGACCGTTTTTCCCAACCATCCTGTGGTATTGGGTCTTCGTTTTGAAGAGACAGCGCCACGCGGTCCGTCCTCCTTCCTTCCTCCTCGCTCTCCTCCCTCCTCCCCTGCGTGCCTCTGCTCTCCGCACCAGTCAACCATGTCAGCACACCCCTCACACGTTTCGTGGTCCCATAGGGAGCTCCACCCAAGGTCCCAGTGGCGGTGTTCGCATGCGTCCCCGCCACCAAATCCAGGCACACCCCTCATATGTTTCGTGGCCCTATAGGGAGCACCACCGACGGCCTCTGTGGCGGTGTTCGCATGTGTCCTCCGCACCCGATTCGGCATACCCCTCACACGTTTCGTGGCCTCATAGGAAGCTCCACCGAAGGCCCCAATGGCGGTGTTCGCATGCGTTTCCCCCCGCCACCCGATTCGGGACACCTCACACGTTTCGCGGCCATACAGGGAGCTCCCCCGAAGGCCCCAGTGGCAGTATTCGCGTGCGTCCCCGCACCCGCTTCTGCACACCCCTCACACGTTTCGTGGCCCCGTGGGGAGCTCCACCGAGGACCCAAGTGGCGGTGTTCGCATGCGTCCCCGCCACCCGATTCGGGACACCCTCACACGTTTCGCGGCCCCATGGGGAGCTCAACCGAAGGCTGCAGAGGCGACGTTTGCATGCGCTCCCTCCGCCCAACACTGTTTCGCGGCCCCCTAGGGAGCGTCACCGACGGCCCTGGAGGCGAGGCCCGCATGCGTTTCCACCACTCAGCACAGCGTTTCGAGGCCCCAAAGGGAGCTCCACCGAAGGCCCTGGAGGCGACGTTCGCATGCGTTTTTCCCGCCCAGTACAGCGTTTCGTGGCCCCACGGGGAGCTCCACCGTAGGCCCCAGGGCCGACGCCCGCACGCGTTTCCCCCACGCAGTGCAGCGTTTCGTGCCTGCATAGGGAGCTTCACCAAAGGTCACGGAGGCGAGGTTTGCGTGCGTTCCCCCCGCCCAGTACACCATGTCCTGGTCCCCAGGAAGCTCCACCGACGACCCCGGTGGCCGCGGCCGCATGCGCTTTCCACACCCAGACAACGTTTCGTGGCCCCATATGGAGCTTCACCGAAGGTTCCAGGGGCAGCGGCCGCATGCGTCTCCCACATCCAGTGCCCGTTTCGTGGCCCCAAAGGGAGCTCCACCGAAGACTCCGATTCGGGGGCGGCAAAGAGGGGGGTGATGACTAGGGGGGGGGATATCATGGCGGGGGCCATGATCTTTCCTCAGATTTCATGGCGCCTCTTCTTATTCCATTTCGTCCCTGGCCCCCCCCCCTGGGCCGCGCACATGCCGCCGGTCATGATTTGCACCTCCCCCTCTTGGACACCCCCCTCTTGGCCGCTCCCGACCAATGGCCGCGGCCGCATGCGTTTCCCCCACTCAGCACAGCGCGTCGTGGCCCCATAGGCAGCTCCACCGAAGACCCCAGTGACCGCGGCCCCACGCGTCTCCTCACACGTTTCGTGGTTTTCCGAGGAGCTGCATCGACAAGCGGTACCCACAACGCCCTTGTTTTTCCAGCAAGGCGGTCTGCAAACTGACAGCGATTGGCATTGAACACATCAAGATTTTTCCCCAACCATCATGTGGTGTCGGGTCCTCGTTTTGAAGAGACTGTTCTAGGGGAACAAAAAGTGCCATAAACATAAAAACTCGGAGGTCCGCGCGGATTTCTCGGATCGGCGCTAGACCCCCCACCCTGGCGCGCGGAGCGCGCCAGGGGCGGCGCCGGAGGCGCAGCCGGGGGGTCCCAGCGCCGATCCCCCTACCCGCTATGCTCCCCGCGTTCCTCCTTCTTCCCGCTGCTCCCCCTACCCCATCCCCGCCTCTGCCCTCCGCGTCGGTCGACAATCTCAGCACACCCCTCACACGTTTTGTGGCCCCAAGGGAACCTCCACCGAAGGCCCCAGCGGCGGTGTTCGCATGCGTCCCGCCGGCCATGCGGGCGCACCTCTCGCACAGTTCGTGGCCCTATAGGGAGCACCACCGACGGCCTCAGTGGCCGTGTTCGCATGCGTCCCCGCACCAGATTCGGCACACGCCTCACACGTTTCGCGGCCCCATAGGGAGGTGCACCGAAGGCCTCACCTGGCTTGCGGTATTCGCATCCGCATCTGACTGGGTCCTTTGCCCGTTTTTTTGTTGTTGCTTGTTGTTGTTGTTGCTGTTGTTTTGTTGTTGTGGTTGTAGTTGTTGTTGTTGTTGTTGTTGTTGTTGTTGTTGTTGTTGTTGTTGTTGTTGTTGTTGTTGTTGTTGTTGTAGTTGTTGTTGTTGTTGTTGATGATGTTGTTGTTATTGTTGTGGTTGTGGCTGTTGTTGTTGTCGGAGTTGTTGTTGTTGTTGTTGTTGTTGTTGTTGTTGTTGTTGTTGTTGTTGTTGTTGTTGTTGTTCTTCTTGTTATTATTATTATTAGTAATATTATTGTTGTTGTTGTTGTTGTTGTTGTTGTTGTTGTTGTTGTTGTTGTTGTGGTTGTTGTTGTTGTTGTTGTTGTTGTTGTTGTTGTTGTTGTTGTTGTTGTTGTTGTTGTTGTTGTTGTTGTTGTTGTTGTTTCGTTGTTTTTGTTTTTGTGCCTCCTGCGGTCTCTCTGATGGCTGCATTGGGCGTCGCTTCGGGGCTTCTTGGTCCCTCTTGAGACATCTTTGGGGCAGCTTGCCGCCTCGGGGGGACCTTAATGCCGTCTTCGGCTGGTCTTCGGGCATTTTGCAGCCGTTTTGTCACGATCTTGTGCCGTCCTTGAGCCGTCTGGATGCCGAAGGAGCCCCTGTGGGTACAACGAGGGGGGGTGATCCGAGTGTTGCTAGCAACAAGATTGGAAGTTCGGCCCTGGAAAACTGTACAACCCCTACCAGACAGCCGGCAGGAGCTCTAGCACTCCACATCGTGCAGTCACGGTGGCGGATAGATGTTTCAATATCTAGTGGCCTTCGGCCCATCTCGCCGTCGCGCCTAGGTTGTAGGTCAGAGGCCTCCTGGATGTCTGAGGATCTCTTGGGAGGCCTCTCGGATGCTTGTTGGAGGCGGTTTTGAGACTGTCTTGGGGTGGCGCATCTTGGGGCCATCTTGGGGCGGAGGGCTCAAAATGTCAGTTCGTGTTCGCCATCTTTTTGGGGCCGTCTTGGGGCCTCTTGGGCCCGTCTTGGGGGCTCTTGGACCGTTTCTTTGCGATCTTGGGCGCCTCTTGGGCCGTCTTGGACGCTCTGAACACCGAGACCGAAAAGACGGTAACGCGAAAACTGTACAACCACAGTGGACTTTGACGACTTTGGCCTCTTGGGCCGTCCTGCAGGGTCGCCAAGACGGTCCAAGAGGCGCCCAAGGGGGCTCCAGGACGGTCCCCAGGGCCACCTGCAACCATGCTGAACCTGCACGTCCCGAACAGCGTGCCCGTGACCTCTCGAGAGGTCGCGCGAGGAGACACGCCGCGGGAGCGCGCGAGGGCGCCCCGGGAGCGCCTGGGACTCCGGGCTGTTTGGGCCCCTCAAGAGGTGGCCACACAGTTCAGCGCAGCGAGCTCGACGGGGCCGGAACTTGTGCCTCGGGAAGGAGGAGGAGGAGAAGGAGGAGGAGGAAGAAGAAGAAACATAATAATAAGAGTAATAAGAAAAAGAGGAGGATGATGATGATGAGGAGGATGAGGAGGAGGAGGACGAGGACGAGGACGAGGACGAGGAGGAGGAGGAGGAGGAGGAGGAGGCAGTGGCGGATTCATCCACGGTGAGGTCGTTCTCTCTTGGGCAGCTGCCCAGGGCCCGGAAGTCTTTGCCTGCACCGTCGGCTTCCGTGTGTGCGCGATCCCCCTGCGTCCGCTCTTCCGCGGGCTGGACCGAGACCTGCTGCGGGCGCGCGCCCGTGCACCAGCGTACCCGGCTTTGGTGACCCTGGGAATCGGTCCCAACGGGTGTTGGCCCGCGTGGGCCCCGCGTCAGACTGTGGTGCAATTCTCCAGCCGTCCGCGGCAAGACCCGCCGCCGTTGCAGCGCCGCAGCGCAGCAGGGAGGTCGAGCTTGAGCTCCGCTCCTCCTCGGGGCCCCGTCCGAACTGGCGCGGGCGTTGAACGCCTCCCTCTTCGTCCGCGGCCTCGCCCTGCTCCTCCTGGCGCCTCCTCCTCTGGGGAAGCCCCCTGTGCTGCTCTCCCGCCCCCCCACCCCTCCTTGCAGCAGGGCAGAGCTGGGGCTTTACGCGCCGTGGGATTCTCCGCTTCAGCGATCGCCACGGGCGACCCGGGAGGCCACGTGACTGCCGAGCTCGGGGGCCTCGCTGTGCTAGCACACCTCGGGGGCGGCAAAGAGGGGGGTGATGACTAGGGGGGGGTGGACATCATGGCGGGGGCCATGATATTTCCCCAGATTTCATGGCGCCCCTGCTTATTTCATTACGTCCCTGGCCCCCCCGCTGGGCCGCGCACATGCCGCCGGTCATGATTTGCACCCCCCCCTCTTGGACACCCCCCTCTTGGCCGCTCACGAACACCCGAGCCCCCCAGCTCAGCAATCTGGGCCCCCAGGCCCGCGTGGCGCTCCTTTTTGGCCAGGCTCGGACGGGCCCAGAATCTAGAGAGGCTCGTTCCAGAGCGTCCCGGAAGGCTTTCAGAGCGCTCCGGAACGCTCTGGAATGGCCGCCCGATGCATCCTCCAAGCCCGCCGATTCTCAGAGATCTTCGATTTATTTCGATCCGATTTTGTCTCAATTCTGCCTTCGTCTCACAGGCCGCTGATCCAGGTCCGCAACTTTGCGCAGAGCGCCTGGAGGAGGAGGAGAAGGAGCAGGATGAGGAGGAGGAAGAAGAAGAGGAGGAGGAAGAGATTGAGGAGGAGGAGGGGGAGAAGGAGGATGAGGAGGAGGAGAAGGAGGAGGAGAAAATGGAGGACCAGTGAAAACCCAAGAGTCATCAACAATGTTGGAATGAACCCTCCATCCAAGCTCCCTCTTCATGGGCCCCTACAACGGTTCAGTTCCACAGGGAATTGCCTCGTTGGAAGACAACCGTTTGAAGATCCTGAAGCATGCCAAAGCATTGTTGTCGGAATTCCAATGCCACGGACCAACCTGACGGTTGCGTCTTGACGACGTTGAATCGTACCAGAAAACCAGTCCTGGGACTTCATCGCAGCGAATCAGCGTAACTGTTGCACCCTCAAAACTCCGAACCCTTCCAAGTCACCATTTCTGGTACGCTGATCATGGAAATCCGTGAAGCTCTTGCATCTTTTGCAAATGAATGTGCGCGGCGCTAAGGGGAGAGCCACATCTTGAAAAGGAACCGCCCTCAATCTGTGAAGCCCTTACAATTTTCAAAAAACAATGTACGCGGCGCTAAGGCGAGAGCCACATTCTGAAAACCACCCGCCCTCAATCCGTGAAACTCTATCAGTTTGAAAACGAATGTGCACGGCGCTAAGGCGAGAGCTACATTTTGAAAACGACCTGCCCTCAATCCGTAAAGTTTTTGCAATTTTTTACACCGAATGTGCGCGGCGCTAGTGCCTCGGAGTGCGACGGGGAGAAGTTTTTTATAAGGAAAGGGAGCGGAGGAGGAGGAGGAGGAGGAGGAGGAGGAGGAGGAGGAGGAGGAGGAGGAGGTGGAGGAGGAGGGGGAAACTCCGCGCGGAGCGCCGGAACGTCTGACCCTGCGCGAGCCTCGCCGCGCGGCGCCGGCCAGCGCCTGCGGTGACCAGGAGTCTGGCCGCAGCGGCCCGACAGGGCCGTCGGCGCCCGGCACCGCGGCCGCAGGCTGCTGGGGCGCGGGGCCGCCATGGCCGCCGTCCGCGTGTCCATCAAGTTTGCGAAGGCGGGCCCGCGCTCGGGCGGCGGCGCCTCGTCTGGGCCTCTCTCCGGCGGCCAGCCCAGAAGGGGAAGCGAGGGGGGGCGGGCCTTCTCAGAAGGCTCGGGAGGTCTCGGGCCTGCCGAGAAGTTTTTTCGCAGGCCCTCCCCCGGGGACGCAGACTTCCCACACGGCCGGAGGGCTTCTGAGAGGCCCGGCCGCCTTCTGAGAAGGCCTTCTGAGAGGCGAGGCCACAGCAATATTCCGGTAGCAAATCCGGGAGCCTGGTATATCCTCTTTCTGCCCTCTAGCGTCGATTAGCGTCTTGGAGTCGATGAGATAGCGCCGATTTTGCGTCGGTCAGCGTCGATGTACCGTCGACTAGCGTCAGCTAGGGTCGATTAGAGTCGATTCGCAAGGGCCGACAAGATGGTGTGGGAGGCTCCCATGAGTTGCCACCGAAGAATTCTGGTATTGGTGTTGATGATGATAACAATGGCATAGAACGCAAAGAAGGCGTGAACATACTTTTTTCGGAGGTCTGCGCGGATTTCTCGGTTCGGCGCTGGGTTCCCCCCCTTCCCTGGAGTGGGTGGGCAGAGGGGAGCTTTAAATCGGGCCTGTCCCTCTACAGGGGGGATACTCCAAAGTAGTACAAAAAATAGTCTGGGGACGATTTTTCGATTACTCTATGACCATTGGGGGGTATTTTTGGAGTATTTGTGATTTTCGCCCCAAATGCCCCTGTAGGGGGACAGGCCCGACCGAAGGGGAGCTGGGTTCAGCGCCAGCTGCACTTCTAGGGGGCGAACAGGCACAGTGGGCTCTCGCATCGGTGCCTGGGGCCATCCATCGGGAGGCCCCCCCCCTGGCACCGAGAGGAGCCCAGGCACCGACACGAGTGACATGCGGCCATCGGGGGCCCTGCCGATCTCTCGATTCGTGGCCCTCCCGGTGCTCGCGCGTGTTTCGGCGAGGTCCACTTCAAGCTGGCCCCAGCCCTGCTGCTTGGACGCCGCTCGCATGCTCTGCTTCGGCATCCCCGCCGCGCTCTTTTTTCTCTTTCGCTCTCGTGCCTCAATGCGCCTCGGGTGCACCTCGCCACTCGCTGACCGCCGCCTGCCCCTCTCGGAGCACTCGGGGCCCGCGGACTTCGAGGCGTCTTTTCGAGCAGCGGCGCGGGAGGTGGAGCGAGCCTTTGGACCGAAGGAGATTCGCGGCAGGCGCGCGCGGGACCGACGCGGCGGCGACCCCCGCGGGGGCCTTCAGGTTGGAACGCCGCCGGTGGCCTGGAGTGAGCCGACGTCCAGCGCTCGGCGCCGTCTGAACGCCGCGATTGTTCCAGGTTGGACGATCCACGGGGTGTCAGAAACCAGCGCCGACGCCACCACCGACTCTTGCAGTGGAGCCCCTTTGCCAAGAAGCACCCTGTTTGCCTCCAGGGTGCCCGGGGTCTCTTGGGTTTCGATGGCTGCGCTGTGGGAAGCGTGACGCTCCCACAGCAGAAAGGAATGTGGACGTCCTCGGGTCCCAGGATCGGTTTCCCTCGTGGGAGGCCTCTCATGGTCGAGCCCTCCTGCCGTGTGGGCAAGATGGCAGGAGCTGGGAGTGGGGGCCAGTGCGCGTGGTCCCTTGGCCTCCGACGACTCGAGAGGAGTTTCGATCTGCCGGCTCCTGGCCCCTGGCCTCTGTTTGGTCAGCTTTCCCCAATTATCCTTTTTTTTCCGTATTCCCTGGGCTTCGCCCGCCCCTGGCCGCGTGAGGCCCCGCCTTCTTCCGCCCTTTCTCTGCCAATGAAAGCTGTGCGCGCCCCGCTTAGCTTTCAGCGGAAGAGGCTCGCTCTCGCCCTGCAGATCAAAAAGCAGTTTTTTTTTCGTTTCGTCTTGAAGAGAGCGACCCAGTCTCGGCCGATTCTGGCCCGAATGCGGTCCGAGTCGGGCCCTGAATATCGGACAGCGCCAGGAGCCGCGCGGGCCCCCATGAAACGGACACCAAAGATTATGTCGGGCGTGCCCCCCCATACAGGGGGATTTTCGACGAAAAATAAAAGGTACCCTAAAAATACCCCTAAAAATGTCAACAACTACTCAAACAATAGTTCCCATACTATTTTTGGATCATTTTTGGGTTATCTTTTTAAGTTTTTACCTAACAGCTTGTTCTGATAGGTTTCTAGTAGGGTCAAAAGAGAGCAGCAGATGACTTCACAGGGGGGTCTGGGCGGGTGCCGGACAGGGTGCCGCAGAAGTCGTTTTAAGCCAACAGTCACACACTTCGTGCTCTTCGACCTCCCAGAACTCCATTCCCGGGCCAGATTTTGGATGCCCGGAGCCAACTGTAGGCCACTTCGTGGTCTTCGACTTCCCAGAACTCCATTCCCGGCCAATTTTTGGATGCCCGGAGCCAACTGTAGGCCACTTCGTGTCTTCGAGTTCCCAGAAACTCCATTCCTGGGCATGATTTTTGAATGCCCGGCAACTGTAGGCATACGCTGATTCCGGCTGAATGCTGAGGCAGGCTGAGGCTGAGGGGCAGGTGAGGCTGAGGAGGCTGAGGCCTGAGGGGCTGGGCCTGATGCAGGCTGAGGCTGAGGCAGGCTGAGGCTGAGGCCTGAGAGCGAGGTGAAGGCAGACTGAGGCTGAGGCTGAAGCAGGCTGAGGCTGAGGCTGAGGCAGGCTGAGGCTGAGGCAGGCTGAAGCTGAGGCTGTGTCTGTGACTGCCGTTGCCACTGCGACGGTCATCGCGAATGCGACTACGACTGCGAGAACAGCACAATTCTACAACTGGATTCTCATCTGAATCTTAAGGGGAATGCTTCCAGATATGCTCCTACACATCGCTGTTAGGTTGCTTTGCCGGGATAATCGTCGATAACCCCCCTGTAGGGGGGACAAGCCCGACTTAAACTAGAGGGGGCGGGGCGAGGCGGTGGCGCTCCTCCGAGAGGCAGGGCGGGGGGCGCCGCCCCGAGCGGCATGGCGGCCCCCCCCCCCGCCGAAGCCCGGGGGCATCGGGGCCCTCGGCTGCCGCCCGGCCGCGCCCGCGGAGGCCCCCCTCTGGGGGCCTCCGCGGGAGGGGGCCCCCCGGGGGGCCGAGCGAAGGGGCGGGACCGCGGGGGCTCCTACGGGGGCCGGGCTCTTCGCGCTCGGCTCCGCGGCCCTATCTCCCTCGCCTCTCTCTCCTCCTCCTCCGTCCTCCTCCTCCTCCTCCTCTCTCCTCCTCCTCTCCTCCTCCTCCTCCTCCTCCTCCCCCTCCCCCTCCCCCTCCTCCTCGTCCTCCTCTTCGCCCTCTTGGGGGGGGGGGCGGCGCGAGGGAGCGCGAGGTCCTTTCGCGCTCCCTCGCGCTTCGCGGAGCGCGGGAGCGCGAAGCGAGGAGCCCTCGGAAGGGGAACAAAGGGGTCACGAACTCTGCTCCGTGCAGCTGGTCTCCGCCCCGCCGCTGGGCCCGCTCCTCGACGCCTGGGGCGCCTCCTCTGGCGCCAGGAAAGCCAGCTGCGTGAGCTGATCCTCTGCCCCGCCCTTTGCCATCCTGCCCTCTTTCGCCCTGCTCCGACCCGAGGCATGTCCCCGAGCCCCTGCAGAGAGGGGCCGCGCGCAGAGAGGGGCATAAGGGGGGAGGGGGGGGAGGCTTTCTGGGGGCAGGCTGCTTCTCGGGAGGCGCGGGCCCCGTCCGCAGATGCAGGGCCCGCGCCCCCTCAGAAGCAGCCTCCTTCTAGAAAGCCTTCCACGCTCCCTCTTACCCCCTTCCTTCTGCGCGCCGCCACTTCTGGTTTAAGTCGGGCCTGTCCCTCTACATGGGGAATGCTTAAAAATTGTGAAAAAATGGTCTGGGGACGTTTTTCCCCACACGTTTCGTGGGGTTCTGGTTTTTTCCTTGCCGCGCCGCGCCCGCGTCTCACACCTCCCCCCTCCCCTTCTCCTTCTTGCACCAGAGCGGGTGTGCAGGGGGGTGGTCCCTGAGCTCGGCCGCTATGCACGACGGTCGTGGCAGGCGTGGCATTTCCTCGACGCCACAGGGGGTGCGCTGGGGGTGGGGGCCCTATGCGTTGTAGGCTCCCAAGGCGTGGCAAGCGTGGCATTCCCTCGCCGCCACAGGGGGTGCGCTGGGGGTGGGGGCCCTATGCGCTGCAGGCTCCCAGGGCGTGGCAGGCGTGGCATTTCCTCGACGCCACAGGGTGTGCGCTGGGGGTGGGGGCCCTATGCGTTGAAGGCTCCCAGGGCGTGGCAGGCGTGGCATGTCCTCGACGCCACAGGGGGTGCGCTGGGAGGTAGGAGGAGGAGGAGGAGGAGGAGGAGGAGGAGGAGGAGGAGGAGGAGGAGGAGGAGGAGGAGGAGGAGGAGGAGGAGGACGGGGAGGTGGGGCTGCAGCAGCGGCAGCAGCAGCAGCAGCAGCTGCAGCAGCAGACGCAGCAGCAGCAGAAGCAGCAGCAGCAGAAGCAGCAGCAGGAGGAAGACACCGAGGAGGAGAAGGAGGAGCAGCAGCAGAAGCACCGATGGTACACATGGGAAATAAGATAGGTATGTGGGGTTCCTCGGTAGCGTAATTTGGACAATTTTGGAATGCTTGAGGGTCTTTTTTGTTCTTCCACTTTTTTTGAATTTTTCGTCCGAAATCGGCCTGCAGGTAGGCCCGACTTCATTCTAGTTGGCGTCTCGGGTCCGTGCAGTGCCCACCCTCTCGCGCGCGCGGCCCCCGCCCGTGTCGGGCCCCCTCCGACACCCCACGGCGGGCGGGCTCGTGTGCGCCCTGTGGGCCCCGCAGCTGCGCCCCCCCCCGCGCGCCCCGACCGTCGCGGGGAGGCCCGCCAGAGGGAGCCCTCGGCACCAGGCTCGAGTCGGGCCCGTCCCTCCACAAGGGGGAGCATCCACAAACATAGTCAAAACAAATCGTCGGGGGACCAGTTTCGGAGCCTTTTCGGGCCTCGCTCTTGTTTTTTTGTTTGTGTGAGTGCTTTTTGTCTTTCGTCCAAAACGTCCCCCTGTAGGGGGGACAGGCCTGATCCAAGCATTGTCAAAATACATAGTCGGGGGACTAGTTTCGGAGCCTTTTGGGGCCTCTCTTGGGCTTTTATTTGTGTGAGCACTTTTTGTCTTTCGTCCACAACAACATCCCCCCTGTAAGCCTGGCGCCGCGCGCCCCGCGCCCTCCGAGGAGGGCGCGGGCCGAGGGGGGGGGGGGGGCCCGGGGCCGCGGCTCGGCACGGCCGCGGGCCCGAGGGGGCTCCGCGGCAGGGGGTCGACCGCAGAGCTGTTTTTCTTGATCCCGCAGCTGATGCTCACCACCCACCAGACCACCCCAACCCAACCCGAAGGCCCAAATTTATCCTCGATTTCCAGTGGGGGGGGGGTCGGGGAACATTGAAAAAACACTTGGAATCCGTAACCTTTTTAATCCGAGATTCGGCTCCAATTCGGGTCTTCGGGTTGGGTTGGGGTCGGGCGGCGGGTGTGGCGCATACCCCCCGAGAGGCGACGACGGACCTGGACTTCGAGAGCCCCGACGTCACTCTCGGGGATCCTCCCGATGCTTCCTCCGCAGGTCGCCGGAGGAGGAGGAGGAGGAGGAGGAGGAGGAGGAGGAGGAGGAGGAGGAGGAGGAGGAGGAGGAGGAGGAGGAGGAGGAGGAGGAGGAGGAGGTACCCATACCGCGACCCTTCCCTCCCTTTTTGGGGGGGGGGCGGGCACCCTGAGAGGCCCTCGTCGCCACCGCTGGATTCGCCCCGACATGCTGGTCAGAGCGCACCGCCGGGGAGACGTCCAGGGAGTGGCGGGATCTGTAGCTCTCGATTTCCCCAAGCCGGGGTTTGCCAGCGGTGCCCCGGGCCCAAGGGTGCCCCCCAGCTTTTCGCCCCATTCTGGAGCCGCTCTCTGGAGGTCGGGGGGGGGGCGTCCCTGGGAGTCCGGGGGGCGCCTCGGGCCAGGGGCACCTCTGGCAGCACCCGAGCAAGGGGGCGCCCTCGAGGGCGCGAGATTCTTCGCGCTTCGCGCTGCGCGGTTCGGCTCGGATTTTCCTCGTCCTCCTCTTCTCCCCTGCGGGGGCGGCGCGAGAGCGCGAGGTTATTCGTGCTTCGCGCCTCGCGCGGCGCGAAGCGCGAATGACGGGAGGGTTCACGGGCGTATGGTTGGCTGCCTTTAAGCATACATCCCGGATCCGGCTTTTGCTTTGCAGATGGAGATTCTGGCGCTGGAGAAGGCCGTTGAACTGATGTGCACGTTTGGCAACCTGAAGGGGGACGCTCGCCAACGAAGACATCTAACGGCTGGATCAGAGACTGTGTCGCTGTGGAATGCAAGAGTGCCCAGCTAAGGTGGAATCGGCGAGTAAGCATGGCCCCTCCAGCGCAGCTATGCTGGTGCTGTATACCCCGCGTGCATACTTGCAGCCGCAGCTGTGCTTGTGCATCTGTCGGCATGACTTATGCCACCGTGTGTATAGACTGCGCTTTTCTGAGTGTTGCGTTAGTGTTGAGGCAGCAAGCTGTCTTGGACTTATCAAGCGCGCTTGGCGCAATTGTCGCCCAGCTGGATGCTTCTGAGTGCCAGTGTTTCGGCTTTGCGCACGTGACCTGAGCAACAAGAACTGGCTTCGTGACGTGGATACTTCAAGTGCACTGCACCTGATACGGCGCGACGGCAGAGAGCGACCCGCGGCGTCGCGTTCGTCCCCCGGAATCGTAGGCGCGCGCGCGCGATGTCGGTCCGACCAGACCAGTCCCGAGAGGGCAGCGTGCGGAGGACCAGAGCCCTCAGGAGGCGGCGTGGGAGTTGGAATGAAGTATTTCGTCGTGTGTTAGAAGCCACGGCAGGATCCAGGACGTCCGTTTGGGGCTGATCACCATACCTGAACTTTATCCGTGCGCTTCTGGCGCTCCCGATTGCACCTCTTGAGTGGTGTAACTATCGTCAGCCTTTGCAGCCTCGGGGGATACATGCACGCCGTTTGCCCCGCCAATCCTGGTCTCGCCTGCCTGGGGAAGTATTTCTGGCGACGACATTGCCCACTCCCTATCCCGTTTCCCCTTCTTGCTCCTCCCCATCCTTCTCTTCATCTTTCTTTGAGTCTTGTGGGATGTGCGGGTTTGGGTGGTGACTCACGGAGCTCAGGCACGTGATTTGGGGTCCGTGTCTCGGCTGCATATACAGGACAGCCCTGCTGCGTTGCCGTGCCTGCGCCCATTTGGCTCATCTGCACCAGCCAAGGTCTCACGTGTGGGCTCGCCTCTTGCAGGTCGGCCTTCGGGTGATTCCGGGTCTGCCTCGTGCATGTCGTTGGGCAGTATTGGCGCGTTCGCAAATCAGATTGCTCGAAATCTTCCAAGTACCTCGTACAGTGCCGTTTTTAACACATGCTCCGCGTGCGGATCATGTATTAAACATGCAGGGATCTAGTACTAAAAGCAACGAGGAGTTCATGCATACATGTATTCATAAATCAATCATGTAGTAAAATCCTATATTTTCAAAATCCCATGTATTTATAACTGCCCTGTACCTCGACCATCCATCCTCGAGCCTCGATCCTCGCCCCCCCGACTCTCGCAGGTCGAGGGCAAAAGACTCGCCCGGTGGCACCGCGGCACGCCCGCGTGCCACCCGCTGGGCGTGCCTCCTCGGTCCGCAGATGCACCCGGCACTAAGTCGGGCCTGTCCCCCTGCAGGGGGATTCTCGACGAAAATAAACAAATACCCTCCACATAGTCAAAAAATAATCCAAAAATAGTCTGGGGACTATTTTTGGCGTATTTTTTGATTTTTTTGGGGTATTTTTCGGGTATTTTTTTATTTTTCGTCGAAAATCCCCCTCCAGGTGGACACGCCCGACATAAACCCGGCACCAGCACCCACCGCGGGCTTACTCTCGGGGAAACGTAAGACTCGAGCACGCCAGAGCTCGGGCTTGGCGGGCGCTTTTTGACAGGAGCGTCCCAGATTTCGACGGTCCAGTTTTTTCGTTGGATGTTTGCGCAGCGGGAGCTCACGTCAACCTTCAGGTGGGTCTCGTCATTTTCATGATGGCCCTGTCAGGCCAACCCGCGTCCCCCGAACCCGAGTCTTGCGTCTCCCAGATGCTTCAAATCAGTGATGACTTTTGGGCAAGTGCCGCCCCTGCGCCAGGAGCTGCGGCGGGCGGTGGAGGCGCAGCTGTCGGCCCACGCCCTCGGCCCCGCGCGCGCGCCTGCATCTTGTGCCTGCTGCGCCTGCTGTGCCGTCCGCCGCGGTGGCGCCGCGAAGCCGTTGCGACGAGGGCGCCCCCGGAGGCCCGGGTCCGAAGGCGTCCCACGGCCTCGGCTACTGCACGTAAGAGTGACCTTTCGCCGAGGGGTCCCTCGGTGCGGGCCCAAAGGGGCGCCCCGATCGCCGAGTGCGGCGCGACAGCGGCGGCTTGCGCGCCTGGTGGTGTCCCCCAAAGACCGCCTTTTTCGGCCTCGCACGAAAGGTCACTCTCACCTAGGGTCACTCTTCCGTGTAGACGAAAGTCTCGATCGTCGAACCTCGATCTTTGATCGATCGACCCTCGATCGATTGACGACGGCTGCGACGACGACGCGCCACCGTGGCACAGTCGTCGCCGTCGTCGCTGTCGTCGTCGTCGTCGTCGTCGCTCTCGTCCTCGTCCTCGTCCTCATCGTCGTCGTCGTCGTCGCGGTCGTGGTCGTCGCCGCCGCCACCGTCGTCGTCGACGTCGCCGCCGCCGTCCGCCGCCGTGGCGCCGTTAGAGCCGAGGATGCGAGGCTCGAGCTTCGAGGCTCGAGGTGCGAGGCTCGAGGGTCGAGGCTAGAGGTCGTTGGACGCCTTCGACCCGCTCTGGCACTCCCGAGGCCTCCAGAGGCCCGTGGGCACTGACAGGGCTCCCCGGGGAGCTCCCTGGGCCTGCAGAGACCTCCGTGGGGCCTCGGTGGACACGGAGATACCTTCGAGTGGACCGCCATTGGCGGCTCGCTCTTCGAGCATCGGCGCGCGCGTCGGCGTCGGCGTCGGCGCCGGCGGCGTCGGCGGCGTCGGCGTCGGCGTCGGCGGCGGCGTCGTCGTCGTCGTCGTCGTCGTCGTTGGTGGCGGCGGCGGTGTCGCCTGGCGCACTCTTCGAGCATCGGCGTCGGCGTCGTCGTCGTCGTCGTCGTCGTCGTCGTGGGCTTCGGCGGCGGCTTTGTCGTCGTCGTCGGCGGCGGCGGTGGCGGCGCCGTCGCCTGGCGCGCTAATTGGCGGCGGCCCCGTGGGTGGAGCGCCCCTTGGGCGCGCCGCCTTTCTATCTCATCCAGCCTCCTTCCAAAGTGTGTAACGAGGAGGAAGAGTATAATGACGATGGCGGGGGGGATGTTGATGATGATGCTGATGATGATGCTGATGATGATGATGATGATGATGGTGATGATGATGATGATGATGATGATGGTACTGATGATGATGCTAATGATGATGATGGTGACGATGATGCTGATGATGATGCTGATGATTCTGGTGTTGATTATGGTGGTTGTGGTGGTGGTGATGGTAATCGTAATACTAATGATGCTGATGATGCTGCTGATGGTGATGCTGATTATGATGATGATGGTCATGATGATGACGACTACGAGAATGATGATGCTGCTGATGATGCTGATGGTGACGATGATGACGATGATGATGATGATGATGATGATGATGATGATGACACTGCTGCTGATGATGATGCTGAGGACGAGAACGAGGACGAGGACGACGACGAGGATGACGACGATTCTGATGATGATGATGCTGCTGCTGATGATGCTGATGATGATGATGATGATGATGATGATGATGAGAGGGATGATGATGCTGCTGCTAATGATGGTGAGGGTGACGGTGATGGCATGGTGATCATGATGATGCTGCTTATGATTAGGAGCGATGACGATGACGATGATGGTAATGGTGATGACGATGCTGCTGATGATGATGATGCTGATGATGATGGTGATGGTGATAGACATGGTGAGGGTGATGATCATGATGATAATCATGCAGATGCTGTTGTTGTTGTTGTCGTTGTTGCTGTCGTTGTCGTTGTTGTTGTTGATGATGATGATGCTGATGATGATGATGATGATGGTGATGCTGACGACGATGATGATGATGATGATGATGATGATGATGATGATGATGATGATGATGATGATGATGATGGTGATGCTACTGCTGCTTGTTGCTGCTTGCTGCTGCTGATGACGACGACGCTGATGATGCTGCTGTTGTTGGTGGTTGTGATGGTGGTTATGGTGATGACGATGATGGTGATGTTGATGATGATGATGATGATGATGATGATGATGATGATGATGATGATGATGGTACTGATGATGATGATGATGATGATGATGATGATGATGATGATGAGGATGATGATGATGATGATGATGATGATGATGATGATGATGATGATGATGATGATGATGATGATGATGCTGATGATGATGATGATGAGGCTGCTGCTGAGGAGGAGGAGGAGGAGGAGGATGAGGAAGAGGACGTGTTGCAGGAAGGAGGAACAGCGAACAGGTGCACGGGGAGGAGGAGGAGGAGGAGGAGGAGGAGGAGGAGGAGGAGGAGGAGGAGGAGGAAGCAATCGCAGGGGGCGAGGCGGATTAGGTGAGTTTTTTCCTAACATCGAAGACTGATAGGTTTCTAATAGGCTAAAAAGAGAGCAGCACATCACTTCAACATTACTTCAACATTACTCCACAGGGGGGTCTGGGCAGCCGTTGGGGGCAGTTGGGTGGCAGTTGGGGGGCCGTTGGGGTTTGCCGGGGGGGATCGTTTTTCGCATACAGTCACACACTTCGTGCTTTTCGATTTCCCAGAACTCCATTCCCGGGCCACATTTTGGAAGCCCGGAGCTAACTGTAGGCCACTTCGTGCTCTTCGATTTCCCAGAACTCCATTCCCGGGCCACATTTTGGATGCCCGGAGCCAACTGTAGGCCACTTCGTGCTCTTCGATTTCCCAGAACTCCATTCCCGGGCCACATTTTGGATGCCCGGAGCCAACTGTAGGCCACTTCGTGCTCTTCTATTTCCCAGAACTCCATTCCCGGGCCACATTTTGGATGCCCGGAGCCAACTGTAGGCCACTTCGTGCTCTTCGAGTTCCCAGAACTCCATTCCCGGGCCACATTTTGAATGCCCGGAGCCAACTGTAGGCCACTTCGTGATCTTCGAGTTCCCAGAACTCCATTCCTGGGCATGATTTTGAATGCCCGGAGCCAACTGTAGGCCACTTCGTGTTCTTCGAGTTCCCAGAACTCCATTCCCGGGCCACATTTTGAATGCTGAGGCAGGCTGATGCTGAGGCTGAGGCAGGCTGAGGCTGAGGCCGAGGCTGAAGGCAGACTGAGGCTGAGGCTGAAGCAGGCTGAGGCTGAGGCTGAGGCAGGCTGAGGCTGAGGCTGAGGCAGGCTGATGCTGAGGCAGGCTGAGGCTGAGGCTGAGGCTGATGCAGGCTGAGGCTGAGGCAGGCTGAGGCTGAGGCTGAGGCCAAGGCTCAAGGCAGACTGAGGCTTTGGCTGAAGCAGGCTGAGGCTGAGGCTGAGGCTGAGGCTGAGGCAGGCTGAGGCTGAGGCTGAGGCTGAGGCTGATGCTGAGGCAGGCTGAGGCTGAGGCTGAGGCTGATGCAGGCTGAGGCTGAGGCAGGCTGAGGCTGAGGCCGAGGCTGAAGGCAGACTGAGGCTGAGGCTGAAGCAGGCTGAGGCTGAGGCTGAGGCAGGCTGAGGCTGAGGCTGAGGCAGGCTGATGCTGAGGCAGGCTGAGGCTGAGGCTGAGGCTGATGCAGGCTGAGGCTGAGGCAGGCTGAGGCTGAGGCCGAGGCTGAAGGCAGACTGAGGCTGAGGCTGAAGCAGGCTGAGGCTGAGGCTGAGGCAGGCTGAGGCTGAGGCTGAGGCAGGCTGATGCTGAGGCAGGCTGAGGCTGGGGCTGAGGCTGTTGCAGGCTGAGGCTGAGGCAGGCTGAGGCTGAGGCCGAGGCTGAAGGCAGACTGAGGCTGAGGCTGAAGCAGGCTGAGGCTGAGGCAGAGGCAGGCTGAGGCTGAGGCAGGCTGATGCTGAGGCAGGCTGAGGCTGAGGCTGAGGCTGATGCAGGCTGAGTCTGAGGCAGGCTGAGGCTGAGGCCGAGGCTGAAGGCAGACTGAGGCTGAGGCTGAAGCAGGCTGAGGCTGAGGCTGAGGCAGGCTGAGGCTGAGGCTGAGGCAGGCTGATGCTGAGGCAGGTTGAGGCTGAGGCTGAGGCTGATGCAGGCTGAGGCTGAGGCAGGCTGAGGCTGAGGCCGAGGCTGAAGGCAGACTGAGGCTGAGGCTGAAGCAGGCTGAGGCTGAGGCTGAGGCAGGCTGAGGCTGAGGCTGAGGCAGGCTAAGGCTGAGGCAGGCTGAGGCTGAGGCTGAGGCTGCAGGCAGACTGAGGCTGAGGCTGAAGCAGGCTGAGGCTGAGGCTGAGGCAGGCTGAGGCTGAGGCTGAGGCTGAGGCAGGCTGATGCTGAGGCAGGCTGAGGCTGAGGCTGAGGCTGATGCAGGCTGAGGCTGAGGGCAAAAATAAAAAAGGGGGGACCCGCCTGAAAGGGGCCGAGGCCGAGGCTGCTGGCAGAACTGGAGGCGGAGGCGAGGCGGAAGCAGGCTGAGCTGAGGCTGAGGCAGGCTGAGGCTGAGGCCGAGGCCGACGGCAGACTGAGGCTGAGGCTGAAGCAGGCTGAGGCTGAGGCAGATGCAGGCTGAGGCTGAGGCTGAGGCAGGCTGATGCTGAGGCAGGCTGAGGCTGAGGCTGAGGCTGATGCAGGCTGAGGCTGAGGCAGGCTGAGGCTGAGGCCGAGGCTGAAGGCAGACTGAGGCTGAGGCTGAAGCAGGCTGAGGCTGAGGCTGAGGCAGGCTGAGGCTGAGGCAGGCTGAGGCTGAGGCTGAGGCAGGCTGAGGCTGAGGCTGTGACTGCGACTGCCGTTGCCACTGCGACTGTCATCGCGAATGCGACTACGACTGCGAGAACAGCAGAATTCTACAACTGGATTCTCATCCGAATCTTAAGGGGAATGCTTCCATATATGCTCCTACACATCGATGTTAGGTTGCTTTGCCGGGATAATTTGTTGTTTTTGTTTTTTTTTTGTCGGTTTTGCTTTTGCGTTTTACAGTATATCGTCGGTACTTTCTGTAACTATCATGCCTCCTGAGGCCTCCCTCGGTCGGGTGTCGCCTCACCGAGTCTTCAGCCCTGCGATCATCACTGGTCCATCTCGGGGATCGAAAGCTGGCCGTGGGCGATTCTGTGCTGCTCCACTGCGGTCGCTGCGGGCCGCTGACCCCGCCCGCAGCCGCGCGAAGACAACTTCGCCTCGCACCTCGCTTCGCGGCCTTGGGCAGCAACGCCGCCGCCTTCCTCTGGGGCGGTGGCATGAGGGCGCGAATCGCGATGCGCGAAGCTACGAGCAGTTTGCGCCGCGTCGACGCGTAGGCGGCGACGGCGCGGACGCTCGAGGTAGAAGGGCGCTGGCAGTGGGAACGGGGCTAAGAGTGAGCGGTGTCGAAGAGCGAAGATCGCGCGAGATTGAAATATCTGCGCGGTGTCAGAAACCGACGTCCACTTCGACGCGGCAGAAGTTAGCGTCCACGTCGGCGCGTCGGCGTCCACGAAGCCACGCCCACGTCGTCGACGTCGACGCGCCCGCGCCGTCCACGCCGTCAGAAGCCAACGCCCACGTCGGCACGCCAGCTTCTACGTCCGCGTCGTCGGCGCGTCGGCACGCAGGCAGCCCACGTGTCAAGGCGCAGCGCGCCGTCCCGCGCGCGGTGCCACGTGCTCGCTCCAGTCCTGGCTGCTGGGCGGCCCGCTGGCCGATCCTGCGATCCTCCTCCTCCTCCTCCTCCTCCTCTTCCTCCCTCCTCCTCCTCCTCCTCCTCCTCCTCCTCCTCCTCCTCCTCCTCCTCCTCCTCCTCCATCTCCTCCTCCTCCTCCTCCTCCTCCTCCTCCTCTGCTCCTGGGCCCGGGTGGTGCCGAGGTCCCCGTGCCGTCGCAGCAGCTCATCTGCGGGGGGCGGCGGTGGCAGGGCGTGGCCTTCGCCGACGACCTGAAGGTGCCGAGGGAGAGGGCGAGGAGGGGGGGGAGGTGTGGGGGGAGACGAGGGGCGAGGGGAGAGGGAGGAGGAAGAGGAGGAGGAGGAGGAGGAGGAGGAGAGGATAGAGGAGGAGGAGGGAGGAGGAGGCGGAGGAGGAGGAGAGGAGAGAGGAGTAGGAGGAGGAGGAGGAGGAGGAGCGGAGGAGGAGGAGGAGGAGGAGGGAGGGGGGGAGGAGGAGGAGGAGGAGGAGGAGGAGGAGGAGGAGGGGGAGGAGGAGGAGGAGGAAGAGGCGGAGGCGGAGGCGAAGGAGGCGGAGGAGAAGGAGGAGAGTCATCAACGATGTTGCAATGCACCCTTCCTCCAAGCTCCCTCTTCATAGGCCCCATACAACGGTCCATTCGAGAAATGCCTCGTTGTGAGACAACCCTTCCAGACCCTGACATAGGCCAACATATTACTCTCTGGGGATGTCAACGCCACGGATGAAACTGACTGGTGTGTTTTGAGGATCTTTGCATCTTGCCAGAACGCTATTCCTGGGAATCCGACACCGCGAGTCAACGTAACTGTCGCGCCCTCACCATCGTGAACCCGTCCAGAACACATTCTCCGGTGTGCTGACCATGGGGATCAGTGAAACTCTTGCAACTTTAAAGTACGAGTGTACGCGGCGGTGAGGCGAGCGCCACATTTTGAAAACGACCCGCCCTCAATCAGTGAAATTCTTTACGCTTCGCGTATCCCCACCAGCCCATCTCACAGCAGCAACTCTTGCGAAGCATGCCGACAGTCGTGTTTTTCAGGCGTGTGTCCGCTGGGCCCCGCATATCTCCCCTGTTCCTTGTTCCTCCCGCCTCCTTGTACATCCTCCTTGTGGGGGGAGCGGGAGAAGGACGAGGCGGAGGAGGAGGGAGAGAGAGCGCTCCTCGTGATTTCAGTCGTTTGGGGTTTCTCGTCCTGGTGTGAGTCGTTCGGGCCCTTCTTCCTGGTGTGAGTCGTTCGGGCTCTTCGTGGTGTGAGTCGTTCGGGCTCTTCGTCCTGGTGTGAGTCGTTCGGGCTTCTCGTGGTGTGAGTTGTTCGGGCCCCTCATCCTGGTGTGAGTCGTTCGGGCCCCTCCTCCTGGTGTGACTCGTTCGGGCTCCTCGTGGTGTGAGTCGTTCGGGGCCCTCGTCGTGGTGTGAGTCGTTCGGGCTCCTCGTGGTGTGAGTCGTTCGGGCGCCTCGTCCTGGTGTGAGTCGTTCGGGCCCCTCCTTGTGGTGTGAGTCGTTCGGGCTCTTCGTGGTGTGAGTCGTTCGGGCCCCTCGTCCTGGTGTGAGTCGTTCGGGCTCCTCGTGGGGCCTCTTGGGGGCCTCTTGGAGCTTCTTGGGGCCTCTTGGGGGCCTCTTGGGGGCCTCTTGGGGGCCTCTTGGGGGCCTCTTGGAGCCTCTTGGGGCCTCTTGGGCGCCTCTTGGAGGCCTCTTGGGGACCTCTTGGGGGCCTCTTGGAGCCTCTTGGGGCCTCTTGGGCGCCTCTTGGAGGCCTCTTGGGGACCTCTTGGGGCCTCTTGGGGGCCTCTTGGGGGCCTCTTGGAGGCCTCTTGGGAGCCTCCTGGGGGCCTCTTGGGGCCATCTTGGGGCCTCTTGCGACCTCCTCAGAAGCGCAGATGAGCGCTGCCCCCTGAGAAGGACAACATGAGCCCAAATCCTTCGTAAAATCAGTGATTTTGCTATGAGGGAAGATGAGCGCGGCCCCCTCAAAAGGCCAAAATGGGGCCAACACCTTGGTAATATCAATGTTTTTGGCTTCAAAGACGAGCTGAGGCGCCAAACTCCCTCCCCCCCCCCCCCCCGGGGCCAGAATCCTCGTGAGGGTCGTCGTTTTTTGGCCCTCCCAGGAGTCGAAAAAAGACACCTCCAACCATCCGCGGTGCGCCCTCTCCAGGCCCAGGGGGAGGGGGTAGGGGGAGGGGTAACCCCCCCCCGAAGGGGAAGAAGGGGGGTTGAGGACAGAGAGAGCTCGCTAAACCACTCACGCCCAAAGGGCTGGTGGGATTGGCCACTTGTTGTTATGATGCATGTTTCATTTCTTGCCCCATTGGCCCCGCCCTCGTTGTAGCAGCGTTGTGGCGGCTATCGCTCGAGGACATGCAGGCACGCCAGAGATAATGCGAGTGTTCGCGTCTGTGTGCGTTGCAGATATGTGAGTCGTGCCAGCTCTTCGTGGTATGAGTCGTTGGGGCCCCTCGTCCTTCCTTGTGTAACTCGTTCGGGCCCCTCATTGTGTGTACGTCGTTCGGGCTCCTCGTGGTGTGAGTCCCCGCCTTGTGTGTGAGTCGTTCGGTCCCCTCCTCCTGGTGTAACTCGTTCGGGCTCCTCGTGGTGTGAGTCGTTCGGGGCCCGCGTCGTGGTGGGAGTCGTTCGGGCTCCTCGTGGTGTGAGTCGTTCGGGCGCCTCGTCTTGGTGTGAGGCGTTCGGGCCCTTCCTTGTGGTGTGACTCGTTCGGGCTCCTCGTGGTGTGAGTCGTTGGGGTCTGTCGTCCTGGTGTGAGTCGTTCGGGCTCCTCGTTGGGCCTGTTGGGGGCCTCTTGGAGCTCTTGGGGCGTCTGGGGGGCCTCTTGGGGGCCTCTTGGGGGCGTCTTGGGGGCCTGTTGGGGCCTCGTGGGACCTCTTGGGGGCCTCTTGGGAGCCTCGAGGGGGCCTCTAGGGGCCTCTGGGGGGCCTCTTGGGGGCCTCCTGGAGGCCTCTTGGGAGCCTCCTGGGGGCCTCTTGGGGCTATCTTGGGGTCTCCTGCGACCTCCTCAGAAGCGCTAATAAGCGCTGGCCCCTGAGAAGTACAAACTCAGCCCAAAACCTTCGTAAAATCAATGATTTTGCTAAGAAGGAAGAGGAACGCTGCCCCCTCAGATATCGGCCACGTGTTGTTGTGATGCATGTTGCACTCCTTCCCCAAGTGGCCCCATAGAGTAGATTAACATGGCCACTTGTTGTTATGATGCATGTTTCACTCCTTGCCCCATTGGCCCCGCCCTCGTTGTAGCAGCGTTGTGGCGGCTATCGCTCGAGGACATGCAGGCGCGCCAGAGATAATGCGAGTGTTCGCGTCTGTGTGCGTTGCAGATATGTGAGTCGTTCCAGCTCTTCGTGGTATGAGTCGTTGGGGCCCCTCGTCCTTCCTTGTGTAACTCGTTCGGGCCCCTCATTGTGTGTGCGTCGTTCGGGCTCCTCGTGGTGTGAGTCCCCTCCTTGTGTGTGAGTCGTTCGGTCCCCTCCTCCTGGTGTAACTCGTTCGGGCTCCTCGTGGTGTGAGTCGTTCGGGGCCCGCGTCGTGGTGTGAGTCGTTCGGGCTCCTCGTGGTGTGAGTCGTTCGGGCGCCTCGTCTTGGTGTGAGGCGTTCGGGCCCTTCCTTGTGGTGTGACTCGTTCGGGCTCCTCGTGGTGTGAGTCGTTGGGGTCTGTCGTCCTGGTGTGAGTCGTTCGGGCTCCTCGTTGGGCCTGTTGGGGGCCTCTTGGAGCTCTTGGGGCGTCTGGGGGGCCTCTTGGGGGCCTCTTGGGGGCGTCTTGGGGGCCTCTTGGAGCCTCTTGGGGCCTCTTGGGGGCCTCTTGGGAGCCTCGAGGGGACCTCTAGGGGCCTCTGGGGGGCCTCTTGGGGGCCTCCTGGAGGCCTCTTGGGAGCCTCCTGGGGGCCTCTTGGGGCTATCTTGGGGTCTCTTGCGACCTCCTCAGAAGCGCTAATAAGCGCTGGCCCCTGAGAAGGACAACATCAGCCCAAAACCTTCGTAAACTCAATGATTTTGCTAAGAAGGAAGAGGAACGCGGCTCCCCCAGAAGGCCAAAATGGGGCCAACACCGTAGTAAAATCAATGTTTTTCACTTCAGCGACGAGTTCAGGCGCCAAACCCCCTCCCCCCCCTCGGGGCCAGAATCCTCGTGAGGGTAGTCGTTTTTTGGCCCTCCCAGGAGTCGAAAAAGACCCCTCCAACCACCCGCGGCGCCCCCGTCTCCACGTCCAGGGGGAGGGGGTAGGGGGAGGGGTAAACCCCTCCCCGAAGGGGAAGAAGGGGGGTTGGGGGTTGAGGACAGAGAAAGCTCGCTAAACCACTCACGCCCAAAGGGCTGGTGGGACTCTCTGGTTTTTTACCAGGACTGTGCGCCGCGCTCAGGCGAGAGCCACATTTTGAAAACGGCCGCCCTCTAACCGTAAAGGTCCTGCAATTTTTGAGATCAATGAGCGCTGCGCTAAGGCGGCAACCACATTTGAAAACGGTCCGTCCTCAATCCGTGAAGCTCTTGCAAGTTTTTACAACGAATGTGCGCGGCGCCAAGGCGAGAGCCACATTTTGAAAACGACCCGCCCTCAATCAGTGAAACTCGTTGCATTTTAACAGAATGTGCGAAGCACTGAGGCGGGAACCACATTTTGAAAACGAGCCGCCCTTTATTTGTATAGCAGTTGCCAACTTTAAACGTCAGGGTCATTCGTGGTAAGGAAGTCTCAGGCGAAATGCCCGGTCCGCCATTTCGACAGGCCTCGGGGTGCGATATGGAGGAGTTTTTTTTCCCAGCCCTCCTTTGGTTGGGTTCTTGTTTTGAATAAAGCACCGTTGTCTCCATCACTCACTCACTCCTCCCCCCTCCTCTTTCCTCCCTTCTTACTCCTCCTCCTCGTTTTCTTCCTTCTCCCTGCCTCGCTGATTATTCCCAACCCTCCCATGGTTGGTGCGTGGGCTCCTGGGAGGTCCAGCGGAGGGGTGTCCCACGGGAACCACCATGAGATCTCGCCGTCCCTGGGCGGCTGCGATCTGCGAAACTGTCGCCACTTTCGTGGGCTCTTGGGAGTTCCAGCGGAGGGGTGTCCCACGGGGACCACCATGAGACCTCGCCGCACCCTGGGGGGTTGTGACTTGCGAAACTGTCGCCATTTTCGTGGGCTTCTGGGGGGGCCAGCGGAGGGATGTCCCACGCGGATCACCACGAGACCTTGCCGCCCCCTGGGTGGCTGCGATCTGCGAGCCCGTCGCCACTTTCGTGGGTTCTTGGGAGGG